GAGAGGCTGAGGGAGCTGAGCTTGTTCAGCCTGGAGAAGAGAAGGCTGTGAGGGGACCTAATATATACTTACAAATATCTGCAGGGTGGGTGTCAGGAGGACGGGGCCAGACTCTTTCCAGTGGTGCCCAGCCACAGGACAAGGGGCAACGGGCACAAACTGAAGCAGAGGAAGTTCCAGTTGAACATGAGGAAGACCTTCTTCCCTCTGAGGGTGACGAAGCCCTGGCCTAGGCTGCCGAGGGAGGTTGTGGATTCTCCTTCTCTGGAGATATTCAAGCCCTGCCTGGACAAGGTCCTCTACAGCCTGCTGTAGGTGACCTTGCTTGGGCAGGAGGGTTGGACTGGGTGACCCACAGAGGTCCCTTCCAACCCCAAACATTCTGTGATTCTGTGATTCTGTGACGGGAGGAGCAGGGCAAAGCAGCTGATGGGACACTTCTGCCTCAGCGTTGGTTCTGGTTTGAAGAATAAAAAGCCCAGTGTCCTTCGCCCCTCGAAGGTGGCTGCGCCCGCCGGCGTCTTCCCCCGTCGCCGGAGCAAGGTGCTCAAGGGGTGGGTGGGCAGGGAAGGTCCGCTCCCGAAGCACCTTCACGTCTGGTCCTTCCGCAGGCGGCTTTGGCACACGGAGGTGCCACCGGCTCCGGGGAGCTGCCCGCCGTGCCCTGCCACGCTCTGCCTGGACCCCTTTGCCATGGAGCCCATCGGGCTGCAGGAGGCATTGCCTGCAAAAAAACCCTAAGAATATTTTCTGGCTATACAAAAAAGTCGCCTGTTTCCCATTGCATTCTCCCATTGGGGTGAGCAACGCTTCAGTTCTGGATTGAGGAAAACTCTGAGCTTCCAAGCAGATGCCAGCTTTATTTTTCCATTTAATTTTATTATTCCTTCCTCCATTTATCTTTCCCCACTATATATATTTAAACCTTTTCTTTGAAGCTACTGTCATCCCACGGGGCTTCCAAGCACCCAGGGGACGGGGATTAGCAGGAGCCCTTTGGTTTCTGCCGGCAGCCCATGGTGGCCGCAGCACCGAGCCCGTGGCATCACCTCTGGGGACACCACAACTCCGACCCGCAAAGAATTCCCCAGCACCCGGCTGCTCCCGAAGGATGCGAACCAGACCGCAAGCCCACGCTCATGGCCACCAAGAGACCTTAGGGATGCCAGGAGGAAGAAAGTCAATGAAAAACCAACGTGCAAAGGGCGATGCACAATGCTCATGCTGCAAACACGGCTGGTGACAGGGTGCACGTGGGAAGTCTCTTCTCTTGGTCTCCTCTCCCAAGTAACCAGTGACAGGACGAGAAGCGATGGCCTCAAGTTCCATCAGGGGAGGTTCAGGTTGGAGATTGGGAAAAATTTCTTTCCTGAAAGAGTGGTCAGGCGTTGGCCCAGGCTGCCCAGGGCAGTGGGGGAGTCCCCATCCCTGGAGGGCTTCAAACACCGTGTGGATGTGGCACTTGGGGACACGGTTTAGTAGGAATGGTGGTGTTGGGGTGACGGTTGGACTCGATGATCTCAGAGGTATTTTCCAACCTGTGGTTCTATGATTCTAAGTCTTCCCAGCAAAACACATCGTTTCACAAGCAACTCTATGATGGAAAACCGTTGAAAACAAGTCAAATTTTCTAGGCAGAAGGATGAAAATCTCCTGTCCCGCAGCCTCTGCAGCCCAGGGTAGAAGTATCATTTCAAATGGGAAATAGTTTTGTTATTTACTTATTTATTTGCCCTCTGCGTGCTGCTTTGCAGAGTCCGTCACTCCCTGGGGTTTCCGGGCTCGGAGGGGGCACGCTGGACAAACATCCTCCTTCCTGCCCGCGCCAGCGAAGGCTTCTGAAGATGAGGAAGGGACGGGGAGGAGGGAGGACGCAGGGATTCTTCGGATGCCGGCGGGATGCAGCTCAGTGTTCCCCTCCGGCACCGAGTATTTTGCAGGTGGTGCTGACATTTCCCAGCCGGGGAGGAAAACGGCCCCTTCCCCAAAGGAGCTCGACTCGGGCGAGACAAAGCCGGAGAGGAAAGGCTGGAAAAAGCCACCCAGCCGCAGCCCCACGCCAGCCCCTCTGCCCCGTGCTTCCTCCCAGGGGGCTGGGGGCTTCGCACGGGTTTCGGCACGCAGAGACCACAGCATCTCACGTCCCACGGGGTGTGG